TAGCCTAAAAATTAGAAAATAAGTATGATTTTCTTCATAATAGTGCACAATTATGATGACATAATGTCATCATAAGTGTTCTAATGCTGAGCTCAGAACTTGTTGGTTATGTATATGTCAGATATCTTTACAGATTCTGTCATTAGATGTTTACTATTACCACTTAATAAAAATTTCACAAAATGAAAGGGCCTATATTGATCCTTTGTGAACCTACTCCTGTGCTGATTTCTTTCAAAAATACAGTGCAGAGCAATATTATAATTTTGGTATTTATACAAATTGTTTAAGAAGGCTACATGTTTACAAATACAGCTACATGTTATTGCTATTTCAAAGTATGCAATAATAAAGAGCTGCTCCATGAGCGCATGATAAGCCTGTCACTTTTTCAACGAATAAAGTTTCATAACTCCTTAATGTCATATCAGAAATTTATGAAAATGCAAAGGGAGCTTACGTCAATATATATAAACAATTCACAAAAGTTTCATGCAAATTGGTTTAAGAGTTTTTGAGTTATTGTCCAACATGTTGACGACAGACAGACAGACAACCATATACCAAAATACATCCTGTAAACGGGCGTATAATAAACAGGCGTATGATAAAAACTGCAAATTCTAGTAAAAATTACTAGTAAGAACTTTTTGAAAATGGCTGTTGCCTGAAAAAAATTAATGATCAAATTGGTGCTAACACTCTTTATTTAGTTTGATATCAGCAACATCTGTGTTTTAAAGATTTGGAGGACAATGAAAATGTCAAATGGCAACCAACTAGGTTTTTTTCCTACCTTTTATAAATTATGGCCCTAGCCCATTGAAATGAGAATTTTATACACGAAGATGACCAAATAGGGAAATGTTTATCAGACTGATTAATTTTAATAAAAGCTTAAAATTTGAACATCAAAATTTCTTTCAGATCAGATCATAGTAAATTACTTGGTATTCAGTCATACCTATTGGCCCCCTTAACTTTTTTGAGTAACAGTGTTCAAAGCAGTGCATGGGTCATTCATTAGACAAATTCCTCTCTTAGGCATCTCAAAGGATCAACTCAAAAGATCAACAAATAAATAAATTTTAATTTTAGGACAAAAAGGTATTACACCTCATTTATAATTATGCCCACCTTCCCTTTTTTTCTTTCTTTTAATTTCTTAATTTTATATATATTTTCTTGGGAAGACATCTCGATCTTACAAGCTATCCTACATGTACACAGTATCCCTTACTGTCACCCTCATTTAACTTTGTGTAAGTTATATATTTAAAATATATCTGTGTATATAACTGGTAAATTTTTGACATATGAAATTATTGAATTTCATAGCAATCAATGTATGGCCTTAAAAATTTGCCAACTACAGTTACAAATCAAAGGGGTTTTATCAATATTAAGTAAATATGGTAATCATGTGTATATTGAGTTAATAACTAACAGTAAAATAGGTATTATCATGGTAAGATACCCCTGTACAAAGTGGACTACTTGTAAAGTCCTTCCTGTTAATTCATACATGTACATGTATATTGAGGGTGTAACCTTACTTTGATAATGTATCGGATATAACATGACCTCTATTACTTAACTTTAAAAAAAACATTACTGTTTTGTTTTTACAATGAAACCTGTAATTTTTTACTGAACAATAACTTTTAAATTTCTGAACAAACATTACAACTTCCAAACCTAATTTTTAGAAAACAAATACACTAATAAAGATTAATTTGGGTACAGCGATAACATTATGTCATATCACAATGTTTTGGCAAAATTCAAATTACATCTATGTAAGCACATGAATATAAAAGGAGATATGGGCACTGGGGTATTTATCTAACCTTTAACAAGTTCCAGTTTCAATATAAATATATTCCTTCATTACAATGTTCTCATTAGATTATTTCTATTTACTTTTTTATAATTCAGATTTGGGGAAGTTCACAACTTATTTTTATCATGTTTATCATCAATCATGTTTATAATGTTTATATGAAATGACTGTCTTCAATATATTCAATATTTTTAATAATTGAAATTTAAGCTCAACCTACTGATACATCTATGTGAAACATAAGACATGTTGTTCAACATGTTTCCATGTGTTTGAAAAGGTCATACAGATAGGGCATTCTTGATTCAAAGTCTGCACCCTTACAATTTAGAGAAATAGATGCAAATCATGTGAACACAAAATATAGGTCATGGTGACCCTATTGTTTAAAATTCCTTAACTTTGTTGTGAGGTGTACAAATGTAATGGGTTGTACATCCTCATTCTTTGATCTCTGGTTATGACACAAGTTCAATTCTTATTTGCACATGGACATCTTTATAGTATTACATGTACATGATGTACATGATGTAGTACCCTCTTATTGGGCTAATCCAGGAATAAGATGATTTTCTAAAAATACAATTTATATTTATCACATTGATGTTTCAAAGTCTTAACTGACAATCTCAGTAATTATCAGATAAGTGGACTTTTATCAAGGTCAACAAACCTTATATTTACCTAAGAAAAGCATATGAAACTAAACATGCTAAAGATGACCTTATTTTTGTACATATTATATAATTTATACCAGACTACTTTGTAAGACACAGTGTATATTCCAGATCACATCCTTTCTAAATGGGCACCATATTTATATAGGGTGTACAACCATTGATATTGGCAAAATTGATTAATATTGCAATTTGTTCAGCGCATTATGTTCCATGATTAAATATTTAGTAAATCAGTTATTATTGAATACCATCATAAATCTTATAAAAATACCACTATTTACTTAGCCCTGCTAGATATGATTACAAATTACATGTGTACCTTAGTACAGGAAGTAAGTGGAGAACTGCATATTACGGGATGTATTTTTTTATACAAATTCCCAAACGTCCAAATGGCTATCAGCTCTGTCCTCCCTTTCAAACCTTTCTTATCTTATAAAAACTACACAAGAATGTTTGCCACTGGACATTAGTGGGAAAACTGCTTGCAATGAAGGTGTATTTTGACAATCTTACCCAAACTCATATGCAATAGAGATTTTGATTAGTTGGTTTATTTAGAGAAGCAATAAATTACCATCCAAATTGGGACTGTAACTGATTCTAAATAATGTTGAAAAATAAAACATAAACCTGACTGAAATATTAATTACTAAACTACATGTACATGATAATGACATACATTGAAACCACGGTCAATCGTCTCTCCCTAACAAACACAACCATCATAATCATATATATCAAATCTTGGTTTTTTCTCTCATTTCTACAGATGATCAATAATTTCACAAATACATATGACTCATTTCTCTTTCCCTTCTTTTTTTTTTATACTTCTTTAAAATTTGAAATCTACATAATGCACATCTGTACATTATTTGGAAATATGATTACCTTAGTACATGTGGAAAAATGTTTTTATGCAAACAATACATTGTACTACATGTACATGTAACTATAGTACATGTATATAAATTGTACACATGTACTCCTAGCCATTGAATGTATTGTAATTTGTGTAAATGATTTCTGTATACATAATAAAATAATAAGCCTTTTACAACACAAAAGGAGACACTTTATAGAATCTAGACATGAATAATTAAAAGCCCACTAACAAGAGGGATTAAATTACTTTGTGATGTCAATATACTATTGATGGTCAAAGCATGTTGATAAATACTACAGTCTCATGATAAAGTATGTAATATACACAATCGAGTACAGTTCATAATTAAATAATGGCTAAGGACATTAAAAAAGAAATAGGAATGTTACACCTTTGTAAATGAAGACCTTTATTCAATATTGCCTATTTTGGCATTTTAAGCAAATTTAGTCCCATCATGATGAAAAGTATTGGTCCTATTGGTTTCAAAACATTTTTTCTTCTAATAGTAATATTATAAAGAAGTTGGACGAGTACTGGAATCAGAATTGAGAACCTTGGATTATTCAGTGTTTGTGATTTGCTGTTGTATGTTATATAAATTTGTTTTTCGTTTTTTAATATTATTTTAGCATAAATAAGGACTTTTTATTTTAAATTGTTTCACATTTTGTCATCATGGTCATGCTGGGGTCTCTTATTGCTGTATAGCTTACTATACATAATACCATGCACATACAGCATGTGTTTGCTCATTATTGAAGGCAGTATGTTATACTGTGATCTATACCTGTTTACAATATACATCCTAATCTTTTAATCTCTGGTTGATAGTTGTCTTAATTGGCAATCATAACACATCTCCCAGAGTTTTCACTAAATTTTTTTGAAGGCTAGTTCAGGAACTCATCATTTGAGGCCGTGGCAAGTCCAAAAGAGAGGAGAAGTACTGTTATTGCTAAAACATTCACCACTTTAATATACCACTTTATACAGCTAATAATATTGGTCACAACTATTCATTCACCTTTACATAGCTCATATTTAGTCATGTAGCTTCTAACCATTCTACGTAACTATCACACTCCTGGCTTACAAATGTTTGGGTTTTAGTGTTATAATACGTACATGTACTGATCTAAGAGTCTATTTTGTTGGTTAAGGTCTCAAATTAAGACAATTGCGTTTACTTTTCTACATTGGCTAGAGGTATAGGGGGAGGGTTGAGATCTCATAAACATGTTTAACCCCACCGCATTTTTGCGCCTGTCCCATGTCAGGAGCCTCTAGCCTTTGTTAGTCTTGTATTATTTTTAATTTTAGTTTCTTGTGTACAATTTGGAGTTTAGTATGGCGTTCATTATCACTGAACTAGTATATACATTTGTTTAGGGGCCAGCTGAAGGACGCCTCCGGGTGCGGGAATTTCTCGCTGCATTGAAGACCTGTTGGTGGCCTTCTGCTGTTGTCTGTTCTGTGGTCGGGTTGTTGTCTCTTTGACACATTCCCCATTTCCATTCTCAATTTTAATTGTCACTTATCTAATAATCTTTTACCTGTATTAACATTAACAATCTATATCACTCACCTTATCCTTTCTTCTTTTCATCAATGGAGTGGTCTTTAACTTAACACCAGCTCCCTCAAACACATAATTACAAGGTGCAATCTTAGTTGCAATGTATCCCTCTTGATATGGGTGACCTAATGGTTTATCATTGACTAAATCTGACAGATTTAATGGAGGAACACCATTGGTGGCCGGTGATACTGCTATATTGCTAGAGTCGAACACAGCTGCTGGCTTTTTATTCTTTCTTCCACCTATTAAATCATCTATGTTTGTTCGTGGCACTTGATTGTTTTTAGATGATTTAAGAACATTTTTAAAATTCAAAGTTTCTGAGCTGTTTTCTTCATTGTTTTTATTTGGCACATTAGGTGAAGATGATTTTGTTGAACGCAGATGACTTGGTTTTACAAGTCTTGGTTCCTCTTCTTCTTCAGAACTTTCGTCTTTAGCACTAGAAAGTGGAATAATTCCTTTTCCTAAATTAACATTGTTGTCTGTTTTGTTAAGTCTCTTTGCTATTACTGATGGCAATCCCCTTGTTGGAGTATCATTATTTTTGTTGTCTTCATCTTTTGGTATATTTGAAATCTGTCTGTTATTTTCAACTCTGACTGAATTCTGTGAAATTTTCTGCAAATGTTTTTCAGCTTCCAGCTGTTTTTGTTTATTTCGTTCATTAATTTCTTCAACAGACATGACATTTCTTGGTGTGAAAGGCTTTTCTTGTTCATTTCTGTCTTTCAGCTTTATACTGTCTGTATTTGTTTGTGATTGTGATGAAATTGTTTTAATTTTTTCGGCATCCTCTATACTGGGTGCTTGTTTCTTTGGTTTCTGACTTTTGACTCTTGGTGGTGCTACAGGTGTATAGACAGTTTCTGTGATGAAAGATGAATCAAATATTTGTTTTCTTTTGGGGAATAACGTTGTAGAATCTTCAGGTTTTTTGTCATCAGCAGTCAGGTTTACCTCCTTAATTGATTTCTTGACATTCACTTCTTCTAATGAAGTCTGAGATGATACAAAAGGCTTATTAATTTGATATGACTTCTCTTCCACAGATGATTGGGGTGATATTTTTGGCCTATTTACTCTCTCTGGTTTCTTTCTTTGATGAGCAGGCTTATCAATGGTACCCAATCTTGGAGATAAATCTTTCTTATCTTCTTTTGATATTATTATATCATCTTGTTTGACTTCATTTCTAACTGGAGTAATAATACTTGAATCAAATATTGCTTTCTTTTCTGGAGACCTTCTTTTTGTTTTAGGAGACTCAAATGGGCGATCTGGCTTTTGTTTAAACAACTGAGATAAGTCTTTCACAGTTTGTGCAGGAGTTGGCTCAATCATGTCTGAAGATTTTTTGGTAGAAATATCTTTTTCTCTTTCACTTTCTATTTTTTCATTAGGAATGGATTCATTTTCTTCTTTTGATGCTGTTTCAATTGCTGATTGAGAGATCCTTCGTGGAGGGACAGCTGGTTTAGGTGGCAGTTTTCCTTTTGGTAAATTAAATTTTGATGCATAAAAATCTGGCAGTTTTGGAGTATTCAACACTCTTTTCTCAAACAGAGACCTGAATGTAATCACAGTATTAGGTTTGGGCAAGTCAGTTTTTGCTTTCCCGTCTTTGAGGGAATGTACACTACCAGCTTCCGGAATCTCTTTACTTTTTTTTACCGTTGTAGGTTTATCTTGCACTTCATGCTCAATAATAACAATATCATCCCTTCCTTTCATAAAATCTGATGACACATGTTGATCATTTTTTGAACTTGCAACATCATTTGTTGATGACCCTGTACTTGATACCCGTGGCCGATTCACTGGAGGTTGAGGAGCACTCCTCAGTTTAGTTTTAATATTATAGTCGGTTGTTTTTTGAACTCTTTCATACTGCCTTTGATTTTTATCACCAGTTTTATCAAATGCTGATTTTACATCATGTTTCGATTTTCCAACATCAACCAAACTCTCTAAACTGGCAAACCGTCGCGATGATTTGAAACCCTTCTCAGACTTCTCTCTTAATTTGGAAAATTTTAAACGCAATTTATCAACAAAACCTGAATTTGGAGCATATTCTTCATTCATATCATTGTCATCACCTGTAATTCCATTTGTCATGTCACTTTGAAAACTGTCATTATATATATGGCCATGAGGATGATCAACTCCGAGTCTCTCAAAAAATGGATTACTATGAACGTGTTTCAGATGTGATATTTCAATACTATTTCTTATTGGTTCATCCTTATAATCCTTTTCCTCATAAGATTTAGTGTTTGTGCTCATTTTAGAGTTGGAGGAAATCACACTACTAGTACTTGTATCCGATTTTACAGGATAGACATTATTAACCTTTTCCTCAGGCTTTGAAGGTTCGTATGGGGATTTAATACCATTACTATTTGTGTCAATAAGCGGCGAGATGGAAGAAGAATCAAAAACACAAGTTTTCTTACTTTCGTGTATCACATTTTTAGTTTTCTTTGACATCAATTCTCGTTTCCAGGTTGGAATGTCAAGCATTTCGTTCATGTGAGTGTTGCTGTCGGAATGGTTTTTATCTATTTCATTAAACTCCTCAAAATCTCCATTTAAATTTGATAGACCGAGCTTCCATGGCGGAACGGAAGCCATTTCGACGAGGCCTGTCATTAATATTTTTCATCTGGGGACATAATTTAGTCATGAAGCTCTAGTGGATCACCTTTTCCGGGTACCTCCTTTGATGAACAAGTGCCCCTACGTCACTTTCACTGCGGAACTTTTATTTAGGAATCCAAGGTGAAGGTCATTTTCAAAAACGTTCAAACATTTGTTTTATTATTTTCTTCTGTTCAACTGGTGACAAATTTCCAGATTGTAAATAAAAAAGCAAGAAGTTACCGAAATAGACATTGAGGAAAAAATATACATTTATTTTTTCTTAGCTTTCAGTTACCCTCTACTGTTCCCCTTTTGGTATAAATAAGAAAACTTTGATTATTTCTTGTCTATGTTTCTGAAAGACCTTAAAATTATTGTATGATGTATTTATCAAATTTAAGTCTAATATATGAGTTTTATAATCTAATTTTAACGAATCAAAAGCAAAATGGTTTATCCGGAAGTTACGGACAACCGGAAGTTGCCTTGAAGTTTGTTTCCAAGAGCAACCTTTCAAAGTGGACGACGCCATAGGATTTACAACTTCACACTTTCAATCTTTTGCACTGCCTGTGGCAATATTTTGTCGTCCATAAAGTTAGCGTATGCAACAGTCACAGATTTAACTACATAAAAATGTTAGGAACAAAAGCTGCCACAACAATTGGACCAGAATCCTGGAGAAATTCCACATTGAAAGGAATAAAACTTTCTAACACTATTGTCAACAAAAGTGATAAATCATGTGATGTTGGAAGGTCCCTTGACCCTTTGCCTCATCTGCGAGACACAGTTTCTCAGTTGAGTAACGATGAAATTCACAGGTACACTCGTGAGGTTAGAGCCGTTGTTGCTAAGCTCAGGGAAAGTCTTCTAGAGACAAATGAGGAAATCAAGTCACTAACAAGGGGGAAAGAGGCTATCGAAAAAGCGCTTGAACATACCAGAAAAGATATCAGACTTAATAAAGACAGTCAGGAGGTCAGGATGTCAAGACCTCCAAGAGAAAAGGTAACACAAACCAGAACAGGAAAGTAATTGCCCTTCTTTTATATTACTTTATTAGGGGTCATGGTACTTTAATGTAGCTAGAGTTTATTCTACAAATGTAGCTTAGGGTAAGTGATAGGGATAGTTAAGTCAAGTTAGTTTAGCTCTTGAACTTTAAACTTGTTTACAAGACATGCTTCCAAGGTCAGTTTTGATATCTTTGCAGATATCTACATCGTACGACGATTCATCAACACATTGATGACTATATATACGTTGGCGCACCACAGACAGACACTTATTAAAGTACAACAATTTTATGAGTGCTATTATCAAAAATAATTGTGTGCAAAAATAAACACATTTACATGTACATATTTACAAACAGGGTATACATAGATATCTAAATGTACTGATTTTGGATCACTATTTTAAACTGATCCAAAGAGTTGATGCTGATGCTGTTTTGTGGAAGTGAATTCCACAGTACAACTGTGAATGGAAAAAAGCTGTACTTGAAGTAATCTGTTATGGTGCTGAATGATTGGCATTGTAGTGAATTGGTGAATCTGGTGTTTTTGACTGGCTGTGGTGAAAGGTAAAGGTTTGGAGCAACTGCTATAAGTTTGTGTGTGATTTTGTACATCATTGTTCCTCGATTGATGTTTATGCCAGTTTCAAGTGACTTCTATTTAAGATGGTCAATCATGGAAGGGACACTACTGGTGTTATGGTACCTGTTGGTTATGTAGCGTGCTGCCCTTCTTTGTACTTTTTCAATGTTGTTTTTTTGTTTTTGGGTGTGAGGAGACCAAACTGAAGAACAGTATTCTAGGTTTGATCGTACCATATAGATTTGTAAGCCAAACTTTTTGTTTCTTTCTGATAATTATTTTTAAGTTTCTTTTTAAAAAGCCAGAGATCTTATTTGCCTTAGCAGTGATGTTGTTATTATGGGTATCCAATGACATGTTGTTAGATAAGGTGATACCAAGATATTTTATATCTATTCAACATAGTTCCTGTATTTTTTTAAGATAAGATATTACAGAGATCCTCATGGATGAAAACTTAACCATGTACATGTAATTGATCGAGGAACTTTCACCCAGACATTTATATACCAAGTGTTTCGTGATCAAGATTATTTCATTCATCAATTTCATTGTAAGGGATTTTGAATAGACTGATATAGTGCTTAACTAACACGAGAGGATTGTACTTGATTTTCATATGATGAAGACATAATCTTTCAATCAGTTTAATTGAGGTCTGGAGCTGGCATGTCAGTAACTGCTAGTAGTCCTTTGTTCATTTATGTATCATTGTCATTTTGCTTAGTTTCTTTTGTTACCTTTTCTGACATCGGACTCAGACTTCTTTTAAACTGAGTTTTGCTGTGCGTATTGCTATGTGTTTCTTTATTCTATATTGGCTAGAGGTATAGGGGAGGGTTAAGATCTCACAAAACATGTTTAACCCCGCCACATTTTTGCGCCTGTCCCAAGTAAGGAGCCTCTGGCCTTTGTTAGTCTAGTATGTTTTTTAATTTGAGTTCATTTATATGTTTTGGAGTTTAGTGTGACGTCCATTTTCACTGAACTAGTTCACAATTTTATTTAGGGGCCAGCTGTGGACAACCTCGGGGTGAGGGATTTTCTCGCTGCATTGAAGACCCATTGGTGGCCTCGGCTGTTGTCTGCTCTTTGGTCGGGTTGTTGTCTCTTTGACATATTCCCCATTTCCATTCTCAATTTTATTTATTACATGATTTTAACCATAGCTGCTCTAAGTGTCCTTTTTATATGAATGTGCCCCTCTTTGGCATGAAATTATTCTCCGTTTTATCATTAAGGGTTAAATTTTGTACTTGTTATAAAAATGGGATGCAGATTACGTAGGTCAATTCAACCATGTGTTCTGACTTGTTAAACCTTTTTATTGTAATAATTTTTTAATCTAATTTCATTAGCATTTGCTGAAAATTAATTAAATAAAGCAGTTATTAAATCATCTAAACTTGATCAAACTTTTCTCCTGTCAGGTATGTCTACCTGTACAAGTGATAAATAACAACCATTAGCCTGCAGATATCCCTCAGGGCTTGAAAACAATAAAGTTTATAAGGAGGATCCCTTTTGGTTATAATACAATAATTAAGGTTAATATACATGTACAGATAGTAAAACAATTTGTAAGGGGTTCTGCCAAACCCTGTGTCTTGCCTACGATTGCTGCTGTCAGTGTAAAAGTGTAATGTTGATTTAAAAAGTGAGTCCATTTATCAGTAAAATACAATATGTTAAAAAAGATTCAAACTTTCTCTTTAGATGCTATTTCTTGGTCTTGAAGATTAGCTTCTGTCCAAGTTTCATAACAATCCATGAAGGTTTACAAACTTATCATGTAAAAAAAATTAAATCCCAGACTGTCAGTAAATGTTAACTGTAAAAAAGTTAATCTTTCAGAAAAATACTGAAAATGAAAATATACTTTCAAAAGTGTGCTTCAGACATTCTCTCTTTATCATAAAAAAGTTTCTTAAAATTCTATGACGGTTTGACAAAGTATTTGATGTGTAACAAACTTTAACCCCAGACTAGTATCTATTTGTTAAATGTAAAAAAAACTAAGTCCATGTATCAGTAAAATACAGAAAAATCAAAATAAATATTTTCAAAATTTTGCTCTGGATACTGTATTTTGGTCATAAACAAGCTTCTGTCCATATTTCATCAAATTCCATGTAGGTTTGACAAAGTTATTGATGTCCAAAAAACTTTAACCACAGACTGAACCTAAATGATGACACCACCACCGCTGCCAATGGAATCTAGGATCGCTTTGTCTTGCTTTCGCGATATTAATTTCGCAGGTTCGACAATTAGATATTAGATTGTACAGGAGAATAACTATACAACATTCACATACGTTTTGAAAACAATTTGACAAGATCAAAGCAATTTATGTATTTTGAAGATTTAAAGCTAGAATTTCCCTACTGTTAATATCTTTACTAATAAGTTATTGTTTTAATACAATATTATATGTAGAAGTAAGATTGAATAAACCTTGTAATATTTTAATACGACCGCAAAAAAATTTTGGGGTCGTATATTGCTATCATGAATCCCGCACATGGCAGATGCATTCAACTCCAGTCCTTATTGACTAGGATTGTCTGTTTTACCATCGAAGATTGATGATTCTCTCCAGGCACATCCATCTTCCTCCACCAATAAAAACTGACAGCCACGGAATAGCACAGTTGTGCTGAAAACGACATTTAACACCAATCGATCAATCAAATGGTGTGAATGTCAGCAATTTTAGGTCACTGCACAACTTTTAACAATAGAAACAACATATACTCATACTGTATTGTCAGCTATTAAAGCACAGACATGAAAAGCGTGAAACAATTCAAACATAAATACTAATGGCCTCATTTATAACAATTCAATTTACAAAAAAACAAATATAACAGACATGAAAAATTGAACTCTTTTTTTCAACACTTTTTATATTTTTTATTTGCTTTATCTTTTATTAAGAAAAAAAGGAATCTTATAAATTGATCAATACCTTACTACTTCATTAATTATTGAATTATACAATTATGGAATCCTTAGCTTTCTAGTTAGGACATATGTTGTCTTATTGACTGTCTACTTGATGCATGAAATTAACCATTCTAGATAATGGTTATGATTCCCTTGTTAGTATATATGTAGGACTCAAATCTATGGTGGGTTCCAGATCTATGGCAGATTCCTTATCTATGGTAAATATGACGTCATGCCATTCCCAATCTATGGCTGTTTTTTTAGAACCCTAATCTATGGCAGTGTTTTTTTATTTTCCTAACCTAAGGCAACTTTTTTTCAGTATCCTAATCTATTGCGGATTTCTAGATTTCAAATCAATGACAGATTTTCTGCAAAGGTCGGACCAGTCAGTATATATCTGACCAATGATCAATGATTTCGAGGTCGAAATGTCCAAAGGTAGCGAAAGAGCTGCTTTTAAGTAAAAACCAGTACATTGTAAAAGAAAAATAAAATATGACTATTACTAGGAAGCATATCCATAACCGTTTGTAAAATGAACACAGACTTTAGGGTTGAAATCATGTGCCCCGGAAGGATAAGTATTTTCTACTCTGTGCATGGTACCTGCATGCTTGACCCATTATTTAACCAACACAAAATGTAGTTTGAATTTTTAACAAATATCTATTTGACTTTGAGCGTTAGATAATTTAAATTGTGTTTGACTGATGACGATGTAAGTCCTGTCATGAACATTGACTCGCCTCCAACCCCTGACATTATAAAATAAAATCCTTATTTCTCCAACAGTACAGTTATTCGCATATTTATAGCGGGGAAAACATTAATATTATTAATATCTATAAGAAATCTATGACATATTTTTTTCTCTCCACTGAATCTCAAGAAAGATTATTTGCTATAACAGTCCAGGTAGTCACTGTTATATAGATGTCAAAATAATTTACGTTTTGTTACTTCTAATAGAAAATTTAAGAGATCATAGGGATACAAAACATTACATAAAACAGCAAAAAGCAAACCAAAATGCACAATAAAAGCTCGTACAATTAAGGGTGAGGGCAACACCAGCAACACGAGAAGAAGGCATCAAGGATAGAAACAACAACAATTCTGAATTAAGGTTGATTTAGATCCTTGCAAACTTACTTTTTGATCTTTTCCTTTTCCTTTTGTATAACAAAACCGTCGCTGTCAGCGGCAGCTTCAACGTTACATGACGTTATTTAATTGTGACGGAAAATTACGTACTATCCAAATCTGCCATAGATTTGGAGAAAACAAAAACCTGCCATAGATTTGTGATTTATTTGGCGTTTGTGACATCATTTTTACCATAGATTAGGAATTTGCCATAGATCTGGAACCCACCATAGATTTGAGTCCTACATATATACGCTTTATGAAAGTGTTTTTATATTTTTTATGTCTTATCTTGTAATATTAAGGTAAAGGGCAATACCTGATTATACCAGGGTAAAATTTATAATTTAAGATTTTTTCTGAATGAAAACTCAATCAAATAAACAAGTTTGAAGACCACATTTCAGGTTATGAATTGTTACTGGGAGATACGGTATGCCATAACCAGGGGTAATAACATATACATTGGTCACCTGGCCATGGTCTTCTGTCTTGTAGTACAACTATTGCTAAGGGAGTTATTTTTTGGCTGTTTGGAATGTATAAATATACCGACATTCCAGTTGGATTCAGAACATTTAATCCAATGCCATGTGTTTGAAGGGTGCAGATTTCTTTGCACAAGAAAGAACACTTGCTGCAACTTTTTGATGGGTCTTTGAGTTGATTGTCAAAAATTCTTGACCCCTTTTAACATATCCTCTTTTTCCTCAGTCAGTGCAAAATAACAGCCCGCCATCCTGGTTGAGTGATTTTACAGAACTTACTTGTTAAAAGTTTTGTTCTTCTAGACATACATGACATAAAGCAATTACAATCAATCAAACAATTTATACCCCTGTTTGTAAGAAAGAAAGTTGATAAAATTGGATGTGCATTAAATATTTAAATGGAAGAGTTCTAGTAAAGTTATTTCTCATTAAATTTGAATAACATTCACATTTTCCAGGGGTAATAGTTTGAAAAGCGTACACCTGTCCAAAATGGTGTGATTGTTTAAAAACATTTTAATAATGGACATGATGGAAATTCAATGATCTGTTTTTATTTTCATTTTCCATTACAAACGGTAATTACCGGCAGTCAAATTTCTCCTTTTGATTTCTAAACAATGAATTATGACATATATGTACATGTATGTTTCAGTTCAATGATGATTCCTGTATATTTTGGTCAAGCTAAACGCTTGATTACTTATGAATTAGAAAATGATCTTAATTATTAACAAGAGTTCTACCAATTTTATCCTAATTTGGATTTACTCAATGGAGATTAAAAATTAAACATGATCATGAACAATTATGCCCCTTGTCAGAGATGTCTCATCCCAGGACCATAGTTAAACAATTTTGAATGTAAAAAAGTCAATATTTGTGGTACAGGGAAAAGATAACACAATTTTCTTTATAATTCGTGAATCTGAAGAAAACCTTTAAATTTTATGGAAATTATTATAAATTCTGAGTTTCTATAAATTTAATTTTGAAATGTCTATCAGTTGGTATTTTGATCTCAAGAAAAAAAAATCCAATTATATAGATAACAATTTGTATAATGTTAGATTTTGAAAATCTCCAATTTAAAGAAATCATTGAACTTCTGTATTACTCTAAGCCTTATTAAATTAATACACGAGCAATATTATTGACAGAAATCATTTCAATATGGGCAAAAGTATTCAGTTCCATTAATTGATTTGGAAAATATAAAAGTAAATATTGGTAACATTAGAAATTGAATTTAGGTTAGAAAAAAGAGGATCTATTTAAGATTATTAATCTGTCAAATATTGTAGGATTCACAATTATGACCTCCATAATGTATGCTTATGTAAAATTATTTTTTTGGATGCAGTTAAAAATTAAGTTAAAGTTTAAATCTTTTTGATGTGTCTGAGCAGCATTGTTATATAATTTTTTTCCAAAGTTTCTAATCATTTCTTAAAAATAAAAAAAAGGTGTCTGCTTTTTTCTGACTGCCTGCATATATATTTTACTGAATTTTTGCTATGTTATTGCGAATAATGAATGACACACTTTTGAAAATTTTATGAATAAGTTAGTCAACCAGCATATATATCCTACATGGTACTTCAGGACACTCAAACTTAGGGACAACAGAATGTATCTGTGCTCCAGGTATTTGAATAATATCAAATTGGTCATTAGATTTTTATATGTTTTTTATTAGCTACATGTAACAATGTGTGTTCAGTAATTTGATATGAAAAAGTTAAAGGAGTTGTGTATTGAATACGGGTGTGACTATTTAAAAATTGACAAATTAAAATTTTTAATAGGAAGATGTGTTACATACAATGTAGCTCTGTTTCAGCCTGTGAATGACCAACACAGATATTTTTTATCAGATAACAGTTTGTTTCAACTAGCTACTGTGTGATAGAGATTTAATAGGCTTTAAATGGAACATATATATTTTGACTGGGTTCCAAAAAGTTAAAGTTGAGAAGGGTTCTTGTTGCTATTATTTTTGTTATTCTTTTTATGTGTTTATTGATAGTAGTTGGGTAATATTAAATATCTTATGTCATTTTTGTATGTAAGGGGAGATGTCAGAGTATTTTATTGCATTCATATGAGTTGTTGAACTTAGCAGGGGAATACTTATATGTTTGTAAACATTGAATCAAAACACTTGTTGAATAATTTTATTAAATTAGCAGTTTTATTTATTTGAACAAACTGTTTAAGTTGAGAAGAAAAATTCTTGACATAGGTTGTCATTGGAGTTAAGTCTTCCTGTATTTTTAGTATTTCTTGATTATTTATATATTATTATGTGAGTTTTGTAACCATATAATGTAAGTCAGAAATTATGTAAATGTTGTGCATTATCCCATCTCTAGACGTGTAGGCTTTGCCATATACAGTGTAACCTGCCTAATCCGACTCCTGAGTATTCAAACATCCTGCATTAACCCACACATTTATCTGGTCCCAAAATATGCATATTCTCGCAGAAAAACCTGAGTATTCCGACACCCTGCTTAATCCAACATTTTTTTCTGGTCCCCCAGTGTGTCGGATAACACAGGTTACACTGTATATAACAAATAGAGAGAAGTTTTGAGAAATGTGTGAAATATTCTATTCCAACAGTTTTAGCATATATACTGAAGGGTTAATTTTTATATTTTTATAATTTATTATTATACTAAAGTTTCTACAGACTATACATTGCAAACCTGGGTTGGGAGGGGGAATTAGTTCACATTTAATTTGGTTTTTTTTGCACTTTATTAGAAATTAAAAACCCAATGTTCACGGCACCCTTAAAGCTGAATATTTCATGTCAGTTGTTTTGTGGAAAAGCTGCAGTGGAAGATTAAAATAATACAATATTAGTAAGAAGTAGAATAAATGGACACAATAGCATAGCTTATTGCTATATATTACATGAAGAATATGGATTTTCAGTAACACTTGCACCCAATTATAAAACCAATACCGGTATATTATTTTATTGAACTTGTCTTTAAATCATTTCACAAGTATAACTGGTATTATGTAGAATGTTATATAGGACTTTTCTCCATTAATTAAAGAAATATTGAATTTTGACACCAAATATTTACTACCATTTTACCCCTAATTTAAATGGCTATACAACAAAGGTTTGGTTTCCTATTGATGAATGTACAAAGTTATTTTTATACATTACACTCTTTGCCTATTAAAGAGAAATTTTAAGTTACTTTAATTCAATACACATTCCATTCAAGTTCATCTGTAACTTTATACAAATGTACATTTAATATGATTCTGACATATATATTTTATAGTTGTATGTCAATTCAGATGTTTATTGCATTATAATACTGTGAACTTCTGATATATTTGCTGTCTCTAGGTGTAATACTGATGATATTTTAAACTTTACAAAAAACATAGAGGTTTTGTAAACTATCACTTAGTCAATTCTGAACCTTTTAGTTCTGTGCTTGCCAGAAAATTGTCTCGTCATCACACTGCAAATGCAATAGTCTGGTCACTGAGTTGTTATGTCCTGTCTTACAGCTGAAATGAAGTAGCTTGACAATGATTATTTTAACAGCTTTAAATGAACATCTTTAACCTGAAAATGAGGTTTAATTTTGAAGCATCATTTATTATTGACACATATCTATAACCACATCATTTCTGGTTTTTTTTCAGGGACATGATGGTGCAGATGATTTATTAAATGCAGAAAAAGCACATTTGATCAACTGTAAAAAGGCATTAGAAGCTCAGCTCAGATCTGTTCAGCAACAATTATTAGTAAGTAAACAAATACAGTCAAAGTAAACCTTATAAAGGTCACCTCTATAAAGCATTCACCTGTGGTGTCAGGTCAATCTCTTGTCTCCCTGTAATACCTATGCATTTTGAACCTAAATTCAAAGGTCACCTTTTCTTACAAGGTCAGCTTTACTTGGCCTTTATGTACAGGTTTTAATTTACCTAAATTTTTAGGTAAATTATTTCTCCAGTTGAAAAAAAGTTACAAACTTTGTTTTCAATTTTTTGGAAAGGAAAACTACTGCTACTAAGGACAAACAGCTGTCCCTGTCTAAAAAAAGAAAGTGGCATGAACATGGTATCTTAAATGTATGCAAATGACAGTTGTGCAGGATCTGAAAATAATTTTGACTTCTTAAATTTTTTGTCGCACATTCATGGTAAAAAGGGAATTGCAAAATATGCCATTATGGAATGAAAATTCTTAACAGACTCATTTAAAGTACATTAGAACATGCTTCTTCCATAATGTTTGCACAGACAGGGATACAGTCTGCCTTACTTAAGAGTTGTTCCCTTTTGGCAAAAAATTGGAAAGTTGAAAATAAAAAAATGGAGTATTGTTGCAAAGTTTTATATACCATATTGATTCTAATAAAATAAATAAGCTATACAAAACTTCCTACTCATGGCTTATCTTTATCATACCTTTTTGTTGTCTCTTGACAATCTTACCAAAATAGTTATTCTAATGAGCTATACTTCGTCTTACAGATTACTAATTTAATGGCATTCAGTTTTCACACAATTGGCTAAATCATAGTTTTAATACAAATTGCATAGCAAAATGTAGTGAAATGAGAGAATAACTTGATGTCCAACATGTTCTTTCATGTAACAATGACCATCTTAATGTGAAGTTTCTGTAAGCTGTTTGGAAGTTAAACATGACAGTCTGTAGGATCAACGAAGATAACAGTAACAATACTCTTATCTTTATGCCATACCTCTCTAGAAATAAGGTGACTAGATTTGATCAGATGTAAAGCACTTATTAATGTAACTCTCATCATGATACCTCTTTTTGGATTTAATAGTAAGCTATACAGATCTTCTTAATTACTCTCATCATATAAGACCTCTCTTTAAAACTTTCATGAGCTGTTTGTGGATTTAATACACAGTAAGCTATACAGATCTTCTTAATTACTCTCATTGTATAAGACCTCTTTTTAAACCTTTTATGAGCTATTTGTGGATTTTTAAAATACACAGTAAGCTTTACAGATCTTCTTAATTACACTCATCGTATAAGACCTTTCTTTTGACCTTTCATGAGCTGTTTGTGGATTTGATAAGCTATACAGATTTTCTTATTTACTCTCCTCATTTAATACCTGTCTCTTGACCTTTCATTAGGTTTCAATTAGAGGATTTGATTTTTGTGTGGCCTGCGACGAAAGTCGCAGAATGCGAGACATAGGTACATGTATTACTATACGGTGGCAGCTTAAACTATTTGTATAAAGCTTTATATTTCAGAAGGTCGAACACTTGGATGCTTCATATCTTGTATGCAGATACCTTATGTTATGAAGTTTCTGTCTGTCATATGTCCAATGTCCTTGACCTCATTTTCATGGTTCAGTGACTGCTTAAAAAAATAGTTTTTTTGTCATGTGAATTTCTCACTTATTATGAGTAATTGGATAACTATATTTGATAAATGGGTTCCTTGCAATGTCTACATGTCCGTCAGACAGGGTTCACCTGACCTCGACCTCATTTCATGGATCAGTGATCAAGATTAAAGTTACATGATAAGGTCCATTTCTCAAATACTAAAAGCAGTAGGTCAACTATATGTGATGTATGGAATGACTGTAATGGGTACATGTCAGCCTGACAGGTTTCATCTGACCTTGACCTCATTTTCATGGTTCATTGGTCAGTGTTAAGTTTTTCTTGGGTTTTGGTCTGTTTTTCAAGTACTATAAGCAATAGGTCAACTATAATTTGGTGTATGGAATGATTGTAAGGTGTATATGTCTATCTGGCAGGTATCATCTGACCTTGACCTCATTTTCATGGTTCATTGGTCAATGTTCAGTTTATTTTGTGTATAAAAAATTGTAAGGTGTATATTTCTGTCTGACAGCATTTATCTGACCTGAGTTTCTGTGATGCTTTTATCTTTAAGACTTTAACATAAAATCAATGGTCAGTAAAGCAGGTGAGACATTTCAGCATGTGCACTCTTGTTAAAAACATACAAAACTTCTTATTTACTCTCATCACATAATACCTTTCTTTTGACATGTAACTAATAGATTATTACAGGAAATGTTTATCTAAGGTAAGTCACTATTTCATGGTAGAAAAGAGTTACAAAACGAAACAAGGAAAGTGAGAGTTATCTCCCATCCCTATATCATAATGCTATCTTAGTGTCAATAAAGGATATTGTTGATATGATTATTCTGTCAATACTATAAGTTTAGTAAACATGATCTATTCAGTAGAAAATAAGTGTATCTCTGGACCAGTGATTTCATTATACAGTAAAATGTCAAAGTATATGGAACCAAAATAAATGGTACACTCAGAAATAATCACCTTCAATGTCTCTTAGATTTAATTTTTTTTTAAAGATGATAACGCCATATGACATCCATATTAGGATTATTTCACATTTCTAAGGAAGTAATAAAATTAAATATTTTGTGTGGGAAGAAAAATAAGAAAGAAATAAGATTGTGTATTAAACTTTGTGTACCTGTATCTGCTTGTTGTTCAATCATTATTAAAATTTCAATTTTATTTTTTAGGTATTAGATGCTGCCAGAAAACGTTTATTTGCTGTCTTACAAGAAAGATCCCGTGTTCTTGACCTCCTTAACCACTCATTGTCCTCCATCACAAATGTCAACAGTGCGATGTCCAACATGTCCAGCTCAGGTATGCGTCGTAGTAAGAGTGTCCAAGATGGCAGATATTCACGCATGAATTATTCAAATTTACCTGATCCTTTGGGTCCATTCACTCCTGAAGCAGATCAGGCATTGGCTGATGCTGACGATGCAAGGGCTAGATCTGCATACCTTAGACGGGAACTGAGGGAAGCCATTGATAGAACTGATAAATTACAGAAAGCTGCACACAAGTCTGTAAACGATGGATTGACACAGAAGTTATCAGAGACTGTTACACTCAAGGTACATCACTATTAAACATGCTAAACTATTAGGTAATTTTGTCAAATGAAGTGATAGGTTAACAATTAACATATCATATTTTGCAGCATATATTATGACATACATGCTTTCTGAAGATTGTATGTTGCCCTCTTCATGTTTTTTATGTCAGAGCTTATTTGTTTGGTTGCTGTTACATTGATGAATTGTATTCCTTTTATTCATATTTGATATTGTATCAAAGTTGGCAACGGTAAAAAGGATCACATGAGTTAATTGGCTGGTTTTGATAGGAAGAGTTTTTCGTAGCCAAGTAATTGTTTCATAGTAAAAAACCCTCATGACTGCAATTGTTCTCATAAATGTACATGTAGTAATTTTGTAGTGAATTATATTCATTATAAATCCTTCAACAAAGTACTTTAAAAACTTGATTATCCAAAATAAATAACCACCAGCCGAATATTACATCATAACTTTGATAACCATTATAAGTGTTATTTATGATAAGGTGCTTTTCCATCACAAATAATAACTGCACAATATTATATAACTGCAATTGAGACATAATTATGACACATAAAATTAATGAGATGTGTAATGATTTCCAATGAAACAACTCTCCATAAAGACCAAAGGACAAAGTTGTGAACAATAAAAGGTCAACAGTACAGCCTTCAACATTAGTAAAACCAATACCTTACAGTAAGCTATAAAAGGCCCTGGTATGATAAAATGTGAAATAATTCAAAGGAGAATATATCCATTTTGTTAATTTTATATATTAAATGGTTGTTTATATACAAAACATGCATTTTCATCGCGTTGATCAGTCATTAAATCATTAAAAAAAAATTTAAAAGGCTATGGCTGAGTGAAAAAGATTTAGTTTTTCATTTGAAATTACTCGTAATTATCAGTAAATTTAATTTTGGATAAAGATATAAAATACTGCAATTATGTTTATATATGCCTTGAATAATGGTTTTTAACAAGTCTGTATGTTCTCATTTTAATTTCACCATGGCAGCTCCTTCCTTTTTTGTTTGATCTTCTTATTTATGGATAAGTTTGATAGTCAAAAAAATTAAAATGGGATAACTTTTTTTTGCAAGAGGACTTGTTGAAATAGCTTGTGTAATTTCTTGTCCCCATGTTAGCACCTACATTTTATGTCAGATCCACTTCAAATTTATATAGAAAGGTTCAAACTCATTTAAACCACACAAGATTTCAGTAATAAGAAAAATCATAAATGGGGAACCTTTTTTGGTGAGGGGAACTTACAAAAGTAACCCCATTTTATTATCTGTGTGATCTGTTTATCGTTTGATTTAAAAGTTTTGCTGTACAATTAAAAAGTTATTGCATGAATTTAAATACACATATATAATTTTTCACTTGCATTTTTATGCAAAATGATATACTACTCAGGACATTATTGTCCAGTATTCTTTACAATCATATAAGATAAATATTGGTAATGAATAATTAGAAGTCTTGAAGTTTTATGACAGAAATCAGAGATTTAAATTTAAATCAAATTTATTGAATAAATTGTAAAATTTTAAATATCTGTTTCCTATTAATGCTATATTAATATTGCAGCAACATCTTGGTGTGAGCTTTGGAGAGAACCGTCATGGTATGCACAGAGCACAGAGATGGTATGATGCCACAGATAAGGCCAGGAGTTATACACTGGTAGGTGTTATAATAAACTTCAGTCATATTTTTTGTACCAAACCAACTGTTTTTGGAAAATTGAAATTTCCTTAAAAAGGAAAATAGCATTATATAAAATTGGTGTATTAGAAGCACTTTTCTGGATTAACCTTCATCACTTGGAACATTCAAATCCAAAAATGTGAAAGCTGAGGATGATTAAATACTTGAAAGTTTAAGGATCTATACATGCTATATGACCAAAAGGGGTCTAATAAGAATAGTCAAATCCACCTTAGTTCAACTGTGATTGTTTCTTATCTCAATAGTTTCAAATTTTTTTTTATTGAGAATTTTTTAAAGAAAGGCATTTTATTTCATGTCAGTACCTAGGCATTTTGCAATTGACCCTATGGACAAAAAAGTATAAAGATTTGAAGAAAACATCACGAGGAAAGACATGTCTGCTTGATTGTAGGTTTACTGACCTTTTCAACTTGTCTACTTTTTGTTAATTTAATTCAAAATGAAAAATGATTCATAATGAGGTGATTGATACTTTGGAATCTAAATTCATTATTGTTGGGCATGGACTGTTTGAAAACCTGCAGTCCTAAACATTATTCTCATTTTTTGAAAGCTGTAATAAAAATTAAACAGCAAATATATTTCCCAATATTTTACATATATTTTGAGTTTCAAACTAAGGCTTTGATCATAAAAATATAATTTTGAAACAATTGCACTTAATACAATATTCTTTAATTTGCTGAATCTATATGTAACAAGGAATGTTTTTTTTTTAATCAACAGGAAAATAAACTCTTGATGAATATAATAAAGGTTCTTACATTATAACTATATTCTAATTTGTTAATTGTTCTGTTTTATTTATATGTTGTTAATGTTTGTAAGAATCAGGTGGTATTTGCTATAATGTTGAAAGAATGATAAAGTTTATTGAATTGAATTAAATAATGTTTTGTTTTGTATTTTATTTAAGTAGTATTTAAACAATATATAAAACAATATTTACTACTTTTGAATGTGATTTTTTTTTTGTTTAAAGTTTTGTCCACTATGTTTCAGTAACTTCCTGATTCTTACAAATATATTTCATGCTGTTTATGTTACATCATTTTTTTTTTCATTTGTAATATTAGCTGTTATAACATCATTAATATACTGTTTCGAAAATATGAACATTCATAGGTTGTCAAATTTTTTGAGCATTGTCTGTCTGATCAATTTTCCATTGATTTGATCAGTTCTTACTTTGATAGCAGAATCTCAAAACATATTATTATACGCCCGTCAATTTTTGACGGGACGTATTATGGTATACAAATGTCCGGTGTCCCTCTGTCTGTCCAGCGTAAACATGTCGCACCGTAACTTGAGAATGACTTATCCAAATTTCATGAAACTTAACATAGTTGTTTCTTATGATGGTCAAACGATCTGTATACTTTTTGGTGAAAATAAGATTAAAACTTTTTGAGTTACGGGACTTAGTAACTAAAACAGGTGTGTGTTTTTTTTCACATGTCGCGCCGTATCTCAAAAAAAATTTATGATTATTGCTTAAAACTTTACACACTTCTTAGTTATATTAATCTTAAAATCTGTATACTTTTTGGTGATGATTCAAAATTTTATTTTAGAGATATTGAGTATTTTGTTAAAAAAGGGGGAGGAGTTTTTCACATGTCGCGCCGTATCTCAAAAACAGTTTATGATTATTGCTTAAAACTTTACACACTTCTTAGTTATATTAACCTTAAGATCTGTATACTTTTTGGTGATTATTCAAAATTTTATTTTTGAGATATTGATTTTTTTTTGTAAAAGGGGGGTTTTCACATGTCGCGCCGTATCTCAAAAACGATTTATGATTATTGCTTAAAATTTTACACACTTCTTAGTTATATTAATCTAAAGATCTGTATACTTTTTGGTTTTGATTCAAAATTTAATTTTGAGATATTGAGTTTTTTGTAAAAAAAAAGAGGGTTTTCGTATGTCAGAAACTATTTATGCTTATTGCATAAAAATTCACACACAAGAAGACGGGCGTATCATGCGCTCATGGCACAGCTGTTTATTTACATCTGGAAAATTTGCAGCTGTGGAAAAAAATAATTCATCAATAACTATGTTAATGTTATACTGTTATAAAACTTTTTCTAGTAAGTATGCAATGTCTGATTGATAAATGATCATGTTTAAGGCCTACATTGTAGTGGTTTACATTAACAATATCTGACCACCAGGTATTATCATAGATTTTTGTGAAACAGACAAAACATTTTCCCGCAGATGTTTTATGTTTCCATCTAGTTGCTGTTATCATTATCATTTTGTTGTGCTTACTATATCATGAGACTGTTTAAAAAGTTTTCACAATTATATCATTCTATTATATAGGGTCCAGTTGCTAGTTCAGACTTATCAACAAGAGAGAGATTAGACCGTCCAATGGTCAGAGTATTCCAGAGACATCCTGGCACACAGCTACCAGAAGCACAGGAAATAATAAGGGTAAGCGTGCATGTGTAAATTTATCATCCTGGTACACAGCTACCGATTGGTATAAGTAGTTCATATACAGTGATGATACTAGACTGTCAACACTCAGGTTGTGAGTTTGAACCCTGCTTGTGGCAAGGTGCGTTTTGACTCAAATCTTGAATGCCTATGATTGCCAGTTTTCCTGTTGAATGTTGTGGTTCTGCTAGGGTACTCTGGCTTCCTATACCAATAAAAATTGGTGACCATGATATAGCCAAGCGTACTGAAAGTGGCAAATAAACACCAACAATCAATTCCTACAGGTACAGTTACTTTTGTTCAAAATGCTGGTTCTTTGTTATAAGACTTGCATCTCCTTTATTAGCTTGTCATAGTTATTTACAGCTACTATTGTGCCAGTTCTATGATTTAGTCAGTAATTTTTACACAGATTGCATTTACTTATTTACTTATTATATGCCATGAACAAGTATGTCAGTACTTTTGTTTATGTTTTCAGGGAGGTGATGGATTGCTACAGTCACTCACAGCTACCAGTAGAAATATTGGTCTCCTTAGACTAACACAGCTGAAATTGCGTAACGATATAAAGAGTAAGAGTGCAGCTGCTGGAATTGACGGAAGTATTATTAGAATGCGACGAAGCAAAAGTAACCATAGATGGACACTTGGAGAGGCATTCTAGTGCAACAACTGTTACATTTTGTTATAGAATTTTTTTAAATGCTAAATATTTGCTTCAAATATTATAAACACTATTTTTTATGCATGATGCGTTTGTTGTTATGAAATCAAAATTTTAGTAATTGTTATTTTTTAAATGATTCCGTCCAAGTCCTATTTATGATATACTGTAAGTTTATTATTATTCGGAGTCTATTAAATTTCATGGATAATATTGGTATGGTTAAACCATGAATCTAATTGTTCAACAAAATACAAAAACCTTATAAGGCTTTTATGTTGAGTGTATATTTCAAAGCCACCTAATGTAATATCCATGAAAATACAATTTTTTCACCATTCACTAAAATTGGTACCCAGAAAATAAAATGAATTCACAGTATAGGGACAGGTATTTTAGTTTATAAATGTGTATTTGAAGACATTTAATATTTAAAGAGTTTTGTTAAATGTTTGTTAATAAGAGCACAGTTTGAATTTTTTACCACAATATTTCATTAAAACTTACAATGTTCATTTTTTTTTTTAATCTCTTAAAGTATGTGTAATGAAAATGCTAAATACACACAATATGATAACTGTTTGTTTGTTTCAAAAAGGGTGAAGATTATGTTGACATGAATTTTAACACAGGGATCAGGGACTTTAGTATGAAGTATTATTTTTCTATCATTTGAAGCATGATAACATATAGCACTTCATCACATCAATATTTTTCATCTTATAAAACCATTTTGCTCAAAAGTTCACGCTGTTAGTCTTAAAGTAAAGTTTTTGTCACATGTTGGAATTTTTTTGCTTATATTAGATTTTATTATCTGTATTATGTATTTTGTATGATAAAGTTGTATTATAATGAACATTATAAATTATTGATAAGTGTTTGCAGTATACCATTCCAGTCTTTAGAGAAGAAATTGTGGTAAATTTTACAGTTTTAGTGTAAAATGTTGGATTAATGAAAAATGTGAGACAATAATACAAATACATGTATGGTTAATCCAATATTCCAAAATGTGACAGAAAAAATATAGTTTGTTGTTTATTGTTGCTGTGATAATATGTATATTTGTTACAGTATTTTATTTGTTTTGTTATTTGTTAGTATTTTACATGTTTTACGTAGATAAACTGCTGATTATTTTTTGTAATTAGCTCACTTAAGAACAGTATTCCTGCAAGAAAATAAAACCATCTGAGTGTCAGCTGTGGTCTGTTTTACATTCTTTATTGTAATATTTTTTGGCTGTCTGTGATATTTTTTCTTTTTTAAATCTGTTGTGCAGTCATTTTGTGTCATGGTTTATATCAGCACACCTTAGAACAGTATTTTTTTACTGTTGAGCAGTCATAGTGTGTCATGGTTTAAACAACACACTAGAACAGTATCGATATTCTGTTAAGCAGTCAGATTGTGTCATGGTTTATATTAGCCACCTTAGAACAGTATTTATCTTTTGTTTTCAATTGTATTGTGTCATGGTTTTTATCAGCACACCTTAAAACAGTATTTATCTTTTGTTTTCAATTGTATTGGGTCATGGTTTATATCAGCACACCTTAGAACAGAAATTATCTTCTTTTGAGCAATCATGTTGTGTCATGGTTTAAAACAACACACCTTAGAACAGTATTATTCAAATGACTCTACCGGTACATTAAAAATTCCACTTCAGCATTAGTTATAGATTTCCAATTTTTTCTACAAACCTAACAAATTATTAAAGCTTTTTTAAATATTTACAGGCATTATATATATATGTTCATATTGAAACAAACATTGCTTTAGTACATATGATCAGCTTTATACACGCTTTGAATACATAATATTATAAATATGCACCTTTTACATTTAATTGTTATTTATTTATAACAAAACAAACTATTTTGAATTACAAGATTCATATTGTTTTGACACCTTATTATCAGTAAAAATTAAAACCATGAAAAATCAAATATGTCCCCAAAATTAAATATTGTTCAAACCACAAATTTTAAAATAATCTGAAATTTAACCTATTAATATCTCATATTACTTTTTTATATCAAAGTTTTTTACTTGTTTATTTTTTTTCGAATAAAGGAGAGAGATAATAACAGCTTAAGTTTTATAAGTAACTGGAGTAGATTAAGAGGGAATTTTGGGACAGTTGTTAGTAACTGGTGTAGATTTAAAGGGGATTTGAGAGACAGTTGTAAGGTACTGAGGAAGATTTATAGGGGATTTGAGGGATATACCCTCAAAATGAGTTTGAATTAAAACATTGTTTTCAATAAAATATGCAAATTCTGAATTGGTTCCCATAAATTGATGTGCTGTATACATCTTTCAAATGCATCAATGAACTTTGATATTGACCGTTTGTTATAAGATAACAGATTTGTGATCTGCTCAAATCCTCTTATTGAACAAAATGTTGGTTATGAATGTTATAACATCGAGGATCAGTTTTGGGAAGTTATAAGGACTTTATATCTCTCCTCATTGATAAGCAAAAGTTAAATTGTAACATGAAGATTTAAACAGGGTAGATTAATTAATAACTGCAGCCTTTCGTCTTGCCTAATTGGAATGCTTGATTTTAACAAATGGTTCCATAATGATCAATATTAATCTAGTTACCTATAAAGTATATCAGATATTTATATACCAATCACATTGATTTTAATATTGGAAAAAAATTATTGAGAAGTTTGAAAATATATATTTTATTATTCTTGTATTTCCCCCAGTGAACCCACTTAGAATCTCAGAAATAATCAAAAGAAATACATATTTACATGTAGATTAAAGAAACAGTATTTTTGTCAGTATATGAAAAGTTATACTGGGCATTGTTTATTTAGTAGCGAAGACATGTACAGTTTTTAAGGCTCAGTATATAATGTTCAACTGTAGGTTCTGAAACAAGTCTGTTTTTATGTTTCATTTTATATTACATATCCAGTCTATAGAAATATGTCTTCATACAAAGATTGGTGGTGAAGGAAAAGATTCAAATTGTAAAAAATGCAAAAAACAACTGAAATTGCAAAACAAACATATTGTTGACAAGTAAGATAATTTTATGCATAGATGTTGGCAAACTCATAAAAGTGTCTGGATTTGAAGAATTAGCATCAAGTTTCAATTTATTTCAATCTTATGCAGAATACTTTGAATTAGTAATTAGGTGACATGTATAAAACAGAAGAAGTCAACTATTAGTTCTTTACCAAATTAGACCTGAACTGTTGAGTATTTTGATAGCCTAATCCTGAACATTATACCATTGTTTCAGAACCTACAGTCCATTGCTAGATGTTGATCAGTATTAGTTTGTCTTTCATTGTCTTGTATGTTCACCAGATCTGTTGTTTGAGATAGATATTTTATGCACACAAATATTGTTATCATGAGTGCTAATAAAAAATAAAGCATCAACCACTGTTTTAATAGTGTTATAGTTTTTTTATACCCCACGCAACGAGTTGCGGAGGGTATAATGTTTTTGACCCGTCCGTTTGTCCGTCCGTCTGTCCGTCCATCTGTCTGTCCGTCTGTCTGTCTGTCCGTCCGTCAGTCCGTCAGTCCTGTTTCTTGTCATCGCAACTCCTCTCAAACCACACAACAGAATTTCACGAAACCTTTTTAGATAATAAGGACATACTATGTAGTTGTGCATATCGACAGGAAATTACGATTCAATTTTTTTTCCAAGAGTTACTCCCCTTTGAACTTATTTGCCCAATATACTACTGCAACCTTTTGTCATCGAAACTCCTTTCAAAGCACACAATAGAATTTCATGAAACCTTTTCAGATAATAAGGACATACTACGTAGATGTGCATATCGACAGGAAATTACGATTCAATTTTTTTTCTAGGAGTTACGCCCCTTTGAACTTATTTGCTTCAATATACCTCTGCAACAGTTTGTCATCGCAACTCCTCTCAAAGCACACAATAGAATTTCATGAAACTTTGTAGATAATAAGGACATACAAGGTAGATGTGCATATCGACAGGAAATTATGATTCAATTTTTTTTCTAGGAGTTACGCCCCTTTGAACTTATTTACTTTAATGTACTACTGCAACAGTTTGTCATCTCAACTCCTCTGAAACCACACAACAAAATTTCATGAAACTTTGTAGATAATAAGGACATACTACGTAGATGTACATATCGACAGGAAATTACGATTCAATTTTTTTTTCAGGAGTTACGCCCCTTTGAACTTATTTGCCCAATATAGTACTGCAACCTTTTGTCATCCCAACTCCTCTCAAAGCACACAATAGAATTTCATGAAACCTTTTCAGATAATAAGGACATACTACGTAGATGTGCATATCGACAGGAATTTACGATTCAATTTTTTTTTCTAAGAGTTACGCCCCTTTGAACTTATTTGCTTCAATATACCTCTGCAACAGTTTGTCATCGCAACTCCTCTGAAACCACACAACAGAATTTCATGAAACTTTGTAGATAATAAGGACATACTAGGTAGATGTGCATATCGACAGGAAATTATGATTCAATTTTTTTTCTAAGAGTTACGCCCCTTTGAACTTATTTGCTTCAATATAACTCTGCAACAGTTTGTCATCTCAACTCCTCTGAAACCACACAACAGAATTTCATGAAACTTTGTAGATAATAAGGACATACTATGTAGATGTGCATATGGACAGGAAATTATGATTCAATTTTTTTTTCTTACAGTTATTTTATTTCTCCAGTGACAATGTGGGGACGTGGGGTATGTGAGCGCGCTCACTAAGGTTCTTTAATTTTGCCTGTTTTCACACAGCCGATAGATATTTTGCTCTTGGCTTCAATATTGTACATCTGCAGGCACTTTTGAAAAATGCTTTATTTTCATTGCAACTAAATCTGCAGAACCTTAATTTTATTTTTGTAGCACTTTCAGATCTTGTTTATTAATCTTATGAAATTTCATCAAAATGTTCTTTGGTACTAAGGTTTAAAACACAGAATTTCTAGTCCATTTTGTTTGTGATAAAAGAAAAACCCAAAATATCATTACATTTATTTTGTCTCGCCTATAACGAAAGTTGCAGAATGAGAGACAGGGATTTCAATCCAGCGGCAACGGTGTAAACTGTTTGTTTAAAGCTTTATATTTTCAGAAGGTAGAAGACCTGGATGCTTCATACCTTGTATGCAGATGCCTTATGCTATTGAGTTTCATTCGGTCATATGCCCATTATCCTTGACATTATTTTCATGGTTCAGTGACTTTTTGAAAAATGATTAAAGACTAAAATTATGTTTTTTTGTCATGTGAATTTCTCACTTATTATGAGTAATGTGATATCTATATCTGGTATATGGGTTCCTTTCAAGGTCTACATGTCCATCAGACAGGGTTGACCTGACCTTGACCCAAATTCATGGATCAGTGATCAAGGTGGTCAAGTATGTATCTCAAATACTATACGCAATAGATCAACTATATTTGGTGTATAGACTGAGTGTAACTTGTATATGTCAGTCTCGCAGAATTCATCTGATCTTGACCTCATTTTTCATGGTTCATTAGTTAATGTAAAGTTTTCATGGTTATGTTTGTTTTTCAGAAACAAGCAAAAGGTCAACTATATTTGGTGTATGGAATGATTGCATGGTATACATGTCAGGCATGGTTCATCTGACCTTGACCTCATTTTATGGATACCATGAGTAAAAGGCTAACTAAATTTGGTGTATGGTATGGTTGTAAAATGTACATGTCTTATCTGACCATGACCTCATTTAAAACTTATAGATAAATCTTTATATTACACACTTTCAACATAAATTCAATAATGATATATAAAGGCAGGTACTACATTTTAGCGTGTGCAGTTTTGTCATAATTATATTTATTTTCCGCCGTAGTATGACAAGTTTATTAAGTCTCCCAAACGAAGTTTGGGAAGACTTATTGTTTTTGCTCAGTTCTTATTATTATTATTATTCTTCTTCCTCTTCCTCTTCCTCTTCCTCTTCCGCCGCTTTTAAATTTGAACTTGTCCGCACCCGTTCTCCAAAACCGCTTTTCAGATTAACTTGGGGTTTCACAATATGTTAGACTAACATGTCTAGTGGTGCAATCAGGGTTTTGTTTGTGCAATGGGGTTTATAAAGGGGTACTTTGAGGGGCAAAAAGAAAAGAGGGTTTTACTATAGAACCCTATGGGATTTTATTTTTTTTAATTTTCAAATGATTATAAATTGAAAACCGTTTGTAATAGACACAATCTTTTTAATTGAAAATGTTCTAAATGATAAAACCCATTAAATGAAATACAGGGTTAGTCCCCAGGGGTCATCCCCACTCCCTGCCATTTAAGAAAGTTCTAATACCTTGTAAGTGGTAAAGATCCCCACCCCTAAACCATATATATTCTGGTTTGTCATGCTAAGATGGTTTGAATGACTTACAGGGTTAGTCCCCAGGGGTCATCCCGACCCCCTGCCATTTGAGAAAGTTCTAATATCTTGTAAATGGTCGAGATCCCCACCCCTAAACCATATATATTCTGGTTTGTCATGCTAAGATGGTTTGAATGATATACAGGGTTAGTCCCCAGGGGTCATCCCGACCCCCTGCCATTTGAGAAAGTTCTAATATCTTGTAAATGGTCGAGATCCCCACCCCTAAACCATATATATTCTGGTTTGTCATGCTAAGATGGTTTGAATGATATACAGGGTTAGTCCCCAGGGGTCATCCCGACCCCCTGCCATTTGAGAAAGTTCTAATATCTTGTAAGTGGTCAAGATCCCCACCCCTAAACCATATATATTCTGGTTTGTCATGCTAAGATGGTTTGGATAATATACAGGGTTAGTCCCCAGGGGTCATCCCGACCCTCTGCCATTTGAGAAAGTTCTCATATCTTGTAAATGGTCGAGATCCCAACCCCTCAACCATATATATTCTGGTTTGTCATGACAAAGCACATGAAATGAAATACAGGGTTAGTCCCCAGGGGTCACCCCCACCCCATGCCATTTAAGAAAGTTCTAATATCCTGTAAGTGGTCAAGATCCCCACCCCTAAACCATATATATTCTGGTTTGTCATGCTAAGATGATTTGAATGATATACAGGGTTAGTCCCCAGGGGTCATCCTGACCCCCTGCCATTTGAGAAAGTTCTAATATCTTGTAAATGGTCGAGATCCCCACCCCTAAACCATATATATTTTGGTTTGTCATGATAAAGCAAATCAAATGAAATACAGGGTTAGTCCCCAGGGGTCATCCCCACCCTATGCCATTTAAGAAAGTTCTAATATCTTGTAAGTGGTCAAGATCCCCACCCCTAAACCATATATATTTTGGTTTGTCATGCTAAGATGGTTTGAATGATATACAGGGTTAGTCCCCAGGGGTCATCCTGACCCCCTGCCATTTGAAAAAGTTCTAATATCTTGTAAATGGTCGAGATCCCCACCCCTAAACCATATATATTCTGGTTTGTCATGCCAAGATGATTTGAATGATATACAGGGTTAGTCCCCAGGCATCACTAATGCATATAACTTTACTGGACCAAACTAATTTTCACTGGACTATGCCCAATGTCAGGCGACCCTGGGAATTACGAATTATGGGAGCTTCGTTTGGGAGACTTCGTAACAGCATCCTGTTACAATCATTTCTTGTTACAACCTGTAATTCTTGTTGATTCTGTGTTATTCCTGTTTCTTATAAACTTGATCATATGAAATATTACAACTATAAAGTGTTATGAAACTCACTTGTAGAAACAGTCGACCACATTTTTTTTTATCGAACACAGTTATATAAATACAAATCTCCTTTATATTCAAGGACTTCATTTTTCAGGATTATATTATTAATCCATAATAGATGGCTGTAAATAATCCTTTAATCTCGGTTAAATTCAAAGTTATATGCTGTTTTAAATTAGTTTAAGTAAAGTCAGATTTGATAGTCAATAAAGAAGATGACTTGATTTACACAAAGCAGTAAATGTCTTGCAAATCTGGAACTAATTAAACTTTTATGTACAAAATAGAGCTAAAAACATTGTGCGAAGTACTGATTTATGAATTCTGACATTTGACCATGTACTGTAAATTTGCAAATTCAGGAATTATTCAGAAATTGTTTTGGATTTGGTATGTTTCTTAGTAAACTAACTAACAACTTTTTCAATTTCACAGAGAAGAATTACTTTTTCTTTTTTTTTTTTTTTTGACTCACTGGTTATTCGACGTTTCCCTATGCTGACTGGTAAAAATATAAATAAAATTGAGAATGGAAATGGGGAATGTGTCAAAGAGACAACAAAACATGTTTGTAAAGAACTATCGAACCAACTGAAAACAAATTTGGAAGTTATGTCCAATATTGAAATATACAAAATGTTACTTTGGTATGAATGATACATCAATATCAATGGG